TGCTAGTTCCAATGTCAATTTCCAAGAAGAGTCCAAAACTGTTCGAGTCATAGCAGCACCACTGAAATCAATGTACAGCATCTCCTGATAGAGTACATGGTGTTATTGGGTAGGATTATTTTAAAAAAAAGAAAAGCAACTAAAATGCATTTTCAGTGGTAGATCTTGAGCTAATGAAATTACAAAGATTGAAAGCCACTTACTGTGGCTTTCATATTAAAACAATATGTTATTCGCCCAATCCAGAATTAATATAAGTCTTTCTCTTGATGTAACAATCACACCTATATACAGACAGATATACAAATGAAACAAAAGGCCTAGTGGATAACACACCTGAGCATCTAATGGAAAGAGCATGGGCTTTGGAATAAAACAAACCAAGGTTTGGGTCCCAGTTATAATACATACTGTATAATAAGTAACTAAAACTCCAAGCCTCAATTTCCTCCTTTGTAATTTTGGGACCAACACCTAACTGTTGATGTTGCTGTGAGGAATGAGAATTAACTTATGGAAGTCTTTTAATGACAGTATATAGTACATACCTGATGTTTTGGGCCATACAGCACCATTCCCTTCTCCCAAGGGTGGGCTGAGTTCCTTTACGTCTTCCTACTACATGCAATCTTGGGAGGATGGTAAATCCAGGTGCCCACCCTCCACCTGTTACAGTTAAGGGTGGGCATATGACCTTGAGCATGGCTAATAGGGGCTAGAGGAGCTGTAGGGGAAGAAGAAATAGGGACAGAATCCACTGTTTCCAGTGGCGGTGCCCAACAGACATTCATTCTCTAGTGATTGGTTCAGAAATCTCTTTGTAGTCTGCTGGTTCCTTCCTGTTTCAAGTCTTCAGCCTCCCCACTGATCCTGAGAGCTCCCAAAGAGCCTGCCAATAAACTTTCTTTTTGTTAAATCACCCAAACTGTTTCTCCAGCTTTCAACCAGACAACTCTAAATGATATACATGAGGAAATGCTTTATATTCTGAAACAAACACATCTAAGAAAACCCCAAAACCCAGGATATGAAACTCCATACCAGTTATAAAAACAAAACAAAAAAACTATGTGTAAATGCTTATTTGTATATAAACACAGAGAAAACAGATAATGAGGGAGATATAACCACATTTTAACAAACACTGTTTCTGATAAACTTTAACCCAAATATCTTTGCATAGTATGACACTCCGACTTCATATCCTTCTACTTTCTCCAATCATTTTACACCAGCTATGTCAGAATTAGCTTGAAATCCCCTGAATGCTGATTTATACATTAGGGCCTTTTAATATGCTTTTTGTCCTGTCTAAAATTCTCTTATTGCCTTCCTATTTCATTTTGCCTAATAAATTCCTACTCTTCCTTCAAGACCTGGTCTAGCCTGGCCAGGGTTGCTCAGCAATTGAGCATAAACCTATGATCCAGGAGATCCCAGTTCGACTGCCAGTCAGGGCACATGCCCAGGTTTCAGGCTCCAACCCCAGGAGGGGGTGTGAAGGAGGCAGCCAATCAATGACTCATCATTGATGTTTCTATCTCTCTCTCCCTCTCCCTTCCTCTCTCTGAAATCAATAAAAACATTAGGGGGGGAAAAAGGCCTGGTCTAAATATGTTAACCTTGGGGGACTTCCCATCACCTTCATAGGTGCACGTGAAGCTCACCTCATCTTCCTTGGTACCACCAGGGGCCTTGTACACTCTTCTACGTTGTACTTAAGAAGAGCTTCTTGAGGACAGGGACTCTTTCACTGATCTTTATATCCAGAAGTCCTTATACAGTGAATCAGGAAGTTCCCCTACTTAGTTTCTACTTCTAAAAGGTAGGTACTTTGTGTATATGGTAAAAAGTCCAATGTGGCTCAGGTAGTTGATTGTCATCCTGTGCACCAAAAGGTCACTGGTTTGATTCTGGGTCAGGGCACATGCCCGGGTTGTGGGTTCCGTCCCAGGTCTGGGTGCATACGGGAGGCAACCAAGCAATCTCTCCTCCTCCTCCCTGCCTCCCTCACCCTTTCTCTCTCCCTTCCTTTCTCTCTAAAATAAATAAACATTTATTTACTTAGTGTAATATTTAGTGTATAAGTACAGGGTCAGACAATTGGGCCTAATTTTCTCTTCTGATACCAAGTTGAGAAAAGTGCTCTGAATAAGCCTTCTTACATAGTTCTAAGGCTAGGTATGCTTGGACTGAGTCACAGAGTGGGAGGAGAAAGGAGGCCTCATATTTCTGTGATTTGAATTTTTAAGTCAGCATTTATTCTATGAAATATAATTCTTTTAAAATATAAATTATCCAATTAAAAAACATTTAAAAATAAAAAACAGAGAAAAAAGAAGTCCCTGAAAGTTACTAATTATTAGTATTACAATTTCAAAGTCTGTTTCGGTGTCTAAACCCCGCCCCCAGGGAATTTGAACCAATCTCACTTTTCAAATTCTAGAATAGTAAAATCTCTTTTAATTACAAATATACATTTCTATAAATAAAATCTACCTTTCAAAGCTAATCTAATATACTCAAAATTGAGAATTATTTACATATGAGGCCATTGATTGTATCATACATAATAGTCATCAGTTAGAAATATAGCATTACCCTGAAACAGTACAATTCTAGTTTTCAAATACTTGAGACTGTCTGCAGTTATCCCACAGTGTACCACAAAACACTCAAAATCACTCATTTGTTTATTTTAATTTTTAAAATGTGTGTGTATGCATAATACCACACTTGATGTGAGAGAGTACAGAACTTGGAAAGTAGTGAAAAAGCAAACATGAAACATCAACTCAAAAAGGTTGTAAATCGACATCTTAAACAACGATTTAACAATCCTTTGGGGAGGAGAAGCAACTAATCCAGGCAGCCTTGGAGTTTATACCAGTCACATAGCTGGGGAAGGTGCACAGCCAAGATTCCAAGCCAGGCTGCCTGGCTCAAGTGCTCTTAACCGCCATGCTAAGCTGACTCTCCTCAATCACCTCAAAGCTTTGGTTGAACATCTCACTCAGGACGTTTAAGTAAACACGAGCCATCACCACATTACCATTAAAAGCAATGCCAAGTTTCTTACCAACTGTAATGAAATTTTTTACCTTTGGTAGCAACCAGAAGAAAATAGGGCCCATGTTGTGTGGTTTAACTTTACTTAATAGAGAGGTTTGCAAAGAGTTGAGAACCACTTTTGAGCAAACAAACGAGTAACAAAAGGATGCAAATTCTCACTCAGGTATGTGCTAGGAACAGTACTGAGCCAAGGGAAAGCAAGAGAAAAAAATTATTCTTACAAGTCTATCTATTGAATACTCTAACACAGCTTATGGGAGAAATACCATAGCAAATTCAGGGTGTATAATCTCAAGCAGAACTTTTAACAAGAGAAAAATAGACAATAAAAAGAGGGGAAAATGGAAATGTCTTTGTAGGTTAAACAGAAATGTATCATCTCGTCCTCCAGTCACTCTCTATAGCAAGAGCCAGACAACTGGCCAAAGGGCCAAATCAAATCCACTGCCTAGTTTTGTAAACAGGATTTTACTGGAACACAGCTCTGCCCATTCATTTAGTTTCTGTTAATGGCTGCTTTCACACTATCATGGCAGTCCTGAGTAGCTGCCAGAGGCCTCACACAAAGTCTAAAATATTTACCACCTGCCTCCTTACAGAAAGTTTGCCAACCCTCCTTTATTTTCTTTTATAACGCTTAACACGATCTAAAATGATTGTGTGTTTTTTGTTGTTTACTCAACTATTGTCTGGCTCCCCCACCGGAATGCAAACTTCATGAGGAAAAATACTTTGTTCTCCACTCTACTTCTAGCACCCAGACCAGCGCATGGCACTTAGAAGGCACGCGATAAAGGTGTTGACTGAGGGGCATTTATTAAGAAGAAAAAGGAGTGCATCATGCAGTTAGAACACTCTGACATTTCCTCCCTAGAGGTAACATCTGGGCCTCAGTTGTATTTCAGCTCCAGGCCCAGAAAAGCAACCAAACCAGCCACAGCTGACCTCAGGACCAGCTGCCCTGGTGCCTGCCAATCATCCAGTGGAGGAGATCACAGCCCTGGAAGGACACACCTGGAAAACTGCCGAATATTCTATTGAGATCTTCCCCTGGGACCTCCCCTAAAATCTCCACCCTTAAAACCTTTAGGACAGAGGACCCAGCGCCCTCCAGCACTCTCCCTCCTGGGAGAGCAGCACCTGGATTTTTCATGTTGATAAACCTGTTGATAAGCCCAATGGTTCACTCTTAGCCCTCACCTTATCTGACCCATCAGTAGCATCTGGCCCAGCTGGTCTACACCCCTCTCCATGTGACTTTCAGAACACCAGTTTCTTAGTTTTCCTCCTACCCTACCGGGCTTTCCTTAGTTTCCTTTGCTGGTGCTACCTCATTTCCCTACCCTCTTGATGGTGGTGCTCCAAGGCTTGGTCTCTGAGACTTTTCTCAGTCCACACTCATTTTCTTGATGATCTCATCTAGTCCCATGACTACACTTAGGCATTTCAAATTTAACAAGTCCAAAACCAAACTCACATTTCCCCCAAAACCTGCTCCGTCAAAGTCTTTACCAGCTCAGTAAATGGGAACATCATCCTTCCAGTTGCTGAAGCCAAAAACTCTTGGGAGTCAACCAACCCTCATTCTGTTACACCCCATATCCGATCCACCATCACACCCTGGTGGCTCTATCTTATAAATATATTCCAGGTTAATGATCACATTTCACCACCTTCTCGACCACCATCCTGGTCCAAGCCATCATCATCGCTTGCCTGAGATGATGTACTATCTCTCTGACAGTTTTCTTGCTGCCTTATAGTTCACTCTGAACAGAGCAGCCAGGGTGATCATGTTTAAAATGTAAACCAGCAAGTTGCTGAATGCTCTAAACCTCCAAAAGCTACCTAGCTCTCTTTCCCACTCAGAGTTAAAGTCTCACACAATTTGGCCCCCTGAAACATATTTGCCTCTTTGCCTTTTTCCCTCCACTCCAGGAACATAGGCATCCACACCCATCCTAGAGCATGTCAAGCAAGCTTCCAACTCAGCCTCTTCACACTGGCTGAAAGGCTCTTCCAGTTTAAGGAATGAACCGAGATTCCTGACTCAGGCACTGCCATGAACTACTGTGCCACCTAATTCTCGTAACAACTCTGTGAGGTAAGTATCAATAGCCCCACTTTACAGATTGGGAAAGTGAGGTTTACAGGCCACCTATCTAACAAATAATGGAGTTGGGGGTCCAGCCCTGATTCGTCTGCACAGAACATTTATTGGCTAACGTCACATTTTAGCCAAGAGGAAATTTTAGACATGAGTTCTCCCTGAGTTTCAAAGGAGGCGGATCAGTGATCTTCCTCTGGAGTCACTCTGATTCCAACTGCTACAGGTGCGTGTTGACAGCTACAGAAGGATATGAGGAAGGGCAGTTGGAGAAATAAGATGAGAGCCAGAAGCAGCTGTTACCCAAGAGTGGAAAGTGTCAAGGAAAGGGGGCAGGGGAGTCAAGCGGAACTGAGACATCCAGAAGCTCAGCAACCCAGCTTCTCTCTCACAGGAAAGCACACCTGTGGTAGAAAGTAACTCTGACCTTGATTTTTTTTTTTTTAATGTATCTTCTACCAATAAATATTGGCATGGGATATTCTATTTGGTAAGCACTTCCACTTGTCTGCAGCAAGTGTGTGAAAATAGGTTGTAGTTAAAGCATGTGACTGAGCTGCAGGGCATCACACCTAGGTTTTCCTCTGGCCCAAGGGAGTCGAAGTTTGTGTGCAGGGTGTGTGGGGAGTAGGAGGAAGACTGGCTTTTAAATTTCACAAGGCAGAGAAAACTGCAATTTTCCTCTGCCCGACGCCCTGGGGGTATGTGGGACCACCGCTGTCTACATCCCAGAGAGACTCTAGGGGCCAGAGCGGCAGCCAGGGCCAAAGGG